AAATACCAGAAATCCAACCTGAAAGTACCAACCTTTCAATCCATTTATTCCGTTCTCCAGGATTACGGCACGCATAGTAAGTATTTTCCAATCTGAAGCAATTTGGCATACCGAGAACCGACCGATGAATTGGATGTACACGAGCTTCGTTTCCACCTGAACCAACAAATACATACATAGAGAAATGAAAACGGCTTCTTAGACTTTGGAAAAATTTGTGATGGCGCAAAATTACTTTAGGATATCAACTAATTTTGAATTTACAAATCCATGACACTTGTTTAACACTCACAAGAGCTACTAGTTCACCACTGACTTAGACGATGTAGCCATCGCCCGAATCATTTTTTCCAAAAGTTAAAGGTTTTAAATGAGCTAGTATAGAAAAATCTAATCCTCTTTGCAATCCTGATATTTTAAGAGCCGGTACTAAAGGCTTTAATACCGGCTCTTATAATATCAGGATTGCACTTAATGGACCAATTTAATGCACCGAAACATTTCTTACCTATTGCAAATATTTCCATACTCCCTTTTTCCCCCTTCGTTTTTCTTCCCTTCTTCACTTTATTTCATTATTTTCTACTTTATCTTTTAATATTAGATAAGTGATTTTAAAACTGAGCTACCATTAATCACAAAGAACTGAGTTTTCACCTGCTTTATCACCACCTCAGTTAAAACTACCTCATCACATATTTGAACAAAAAAAACCACCAGCTTCAAATCCCGAAACTAGTGAAGTCCAGATTAACTATATCTATTTTCACTTTTAATGGCAAAACTGCCCTAGCCTCGAATACGTGTGATCTCCATAACCAATTACGTATGCTAGCCATACATATAATTACATGTATTACTTAAAAAACATGTTGTGACCTTAATAGTTATGTGCATTAAAAATTAATTATGTTTTATTTATACATAATTGTGTGTAGTGTGAAATACTATAGTAATCCTTTCAGGAGAAGAAACGCGAATTTCAGGTCTGCCAGCAAAAGAAGAACACCAAGTGGACAGTGTAACTGGAAAAGTTGCATAGCTGGAGAATCAGATTATAAATTAACATCTATTCCGGGAATTTTAGATTTGCATA